ATTTTCTTAAGATCTATAAAAAATACAAACTATTTATTTAACATGAATATTTAAATTTACAAAAAATCTAATCAAAATATCAAATATTCCATAATGATGTTGTTAATTTAAGAATTTATTCGAAATCTATTGTCCTATTATTTTTCTAATCTTATGTGTTATTAATGATGGAATTAAGTTAAATAACAACCTTAGAGCAAACAAAAATGCAATTAGTTTATGAATTCTCACTATATGTATATCCAGTAATTAAGCAGCATTCATTATTAAATAATGTTTATTGGTATTTACTGATGCATTTATCATTAAAGATTGTACAAAATTATTAAGTTTATTTATCTCAATTTAAGAATTTAGTACATGCTCTATAAGTAACTTGATTAATAGTGCAAGTACGAAATGTAGATTAGGTATTAGTTCCAGATGTACAATTAGTATCATTAGAAATACAAGACAATAATGCTACTACAAAAATATTTGTAGATGTACCATTTTGAATATCAGTACAAGTAAATATTCTACATTTAGAATTATTATTGGTAGGAGATGCAAGTTTCCAATAGCAAAGTTCATCAGATCCAGGCGCATTTGTATAGGAGTAATATTTTTTTTTAAGTATTAATTTAAGTCCATCTGATGTACATATTGATAATTAGGAAACACAATTAGAGTGATTAATACCAATTAAATCAGTACAAGATTAATCTTTTCAAGTACTTGTTGTAAGATCCCATTTACAATTACCGCAAAATATAATAGCTCTAGATGTATTTACACATCCCGCTTTTGAAGTATAAGATGAACATTAAACTAGACCAATACAGCCTGTTCCTCCATTTGTTGTGCATTTCTTATTAACATTTTATCAATCTGTGAGCTATATAGAATGTATCAGTACAAAATGTAAATAATTATCATGAGAAAATGGTACAAGATTTGCACATGTTCTATCGACACGGTTGGAGCCATTCCAATAATAATCTCCATTTGATTTTGATTCTAACTAACAATTTAATGAATTTAATCCTGTACAACTAGAAGTTTTAATTAATACACCCATCTTAATTCTTATTATATATACAAGGTTTTATTGTATTTGTACATATATCTAAAGGATTAGTTAAAGCTTCATTTGATAAAGCTTCTGTTCTTGCAGTATTATTAGCACAAGAGAAGCAACCCATAACATGGAGGGAATCCATTCTTACAATTTCTCATTTTTATGATGATTTTCTAGCTGTACAAGTTGTAGGTAAATCTTTACATCATTAAATTGATCCATTAAATAGACTGTTAGCCACACAAATTTTTATAAATAATAATAATTATTAATTTATTATAAATGATTTCGGCATTTTGAAGTAGTTGTAAATATATTGAGGCAGTAGTCAAAGCTTTTTTATACATACAGATCCATTCCACCCAAATTTGTTAACCATTAGCTATAATATGACAGGCACCTTATATTTTAATAACTTCACATTTAAAGTAAGTAAACACATCTAAATCCTGTATTACTTAAAGTACAGATTGGATGATAAGTTTAACACTCAAATGATGTTAATTTACATTAATTTTTAAAACATTTTTCTTTCCAAATACAGTCCTTATGACTAGCATCTTTATCATAAATAGATAAGGCCAAAGAATTTTCACAAGCTTCTTCAACACATCCTGTGTTTGTTTTATTTATTATTCAATTACTTAAGATTATTAACAGAGATCATGTGAAGCATTAGTAAGATGGTGCATTAGTATATATTCTAACTTTTCAACTTGAACTAATACTATCCCAAAAACAACCTTTTCCAAATGAATTTTAATACAAGCATTTCATATGTAATTACTGCATAAGTAGGATTTATTCAACTTCCACTTACATTGTTTGTCTTACATTTTTATCCAGGTAGATAAGTTTCATTTGAATCATTTTTACATCCAATTCCTGATTTTATTTGAAAATTTAATATGAGAAAAATCAGTTATAATTAATCTTATCTTGCTTTCTTTTGGAATCATAATTTGATTTATTTATTTATAAATATACATTAAAAAGCTGATTAGCAAAATATTGCTAGGATCAATAAAAATATTATTATCCAACTTTAACTGTTGTTTTTAAAGCTGTGTGAGAATATTCTAATTGATTGATTCCATTAATGTTCATTTAAATTGAGATTTGCAATTTGGATATAGGAAATCTTTCTGTTTATGATTATTCAATATGTCTGTATCAAGTGAATAATTGATAAATAATCAAAATAACTGAAATCCCCTATGATATTTGATAATTCATTGTTGTATGCAAAAAAATAGTTTACAGAAATAAAAGAAAGAGGTATTATGATTTGCTCTTATAAACTATAGAGCAAGGGATTAATTTTTACCAAATTAAATTCAAAAGTTTTCTTTCAATACACAATAATCAAAAGTTTGTTTAAATTTGTGAAATATTGTATTTTACAATAAAAACTAAAAAATGAAATTTTATATGGATAAATGAGATAAATATTGAAAAATGTAATTAATCTTTATTTTTGGTAAGAATTTTATGAAAGAAATTTCTATAAAATAACAATCAAGAGAAATATTGGATGATCGAATTTCTGAAATTATGTGCATCACCTTTTTTCTAAATATATATAAATAAAGTCATTAAATAATAACATATGATTTTGTTCATTATGGTTTAACAAGTCTTTAGCACTTCAGAATTGATTTATTAATTCTATGCCTCAGTAAATGGGCTTGAAGGTTATTATTTTTCCATATTATAGGATGGAAGTCTAGTACTGCTAGTATATTTAATAGCTATGATGTAAACCTGTATGGAGGCAAGTCTCCAGACATTAGTAGAATATTTCTTGATCTGAATGCTCACTATTAAATAAAAATATAAATGGAATTCTCAAGGTATCTCAAAGGGAAATAGAAAAAAGTAGTAGATTCTTTCTTTTGGACAGATACCAAAGATGATACTTGCAAAGACACCCATTAGCCGTACCAACTGTTTTTTTTCACTAGGATCAGATCTCGTAACTTTACAATTTACAATTTTATTAATTAAAGAAAATTCGTTTTTTAAAATTTACAAAATAATATAATTTATTTTTCATCATTCAAATACACTATCAACATTAGACTAACAATACTAACAGAAGAAGAAAGAGTTCTAATGATAAGTACTATAGTGAATTTTATGAAAAGTTAAGCCAAAGTTACTTATAAGGAGAGAATTCAGCGCTTCTTAAATTTATGAATAAATGAGCTAATAAGTTTAAAGCGGTGAGTTAGCAAAAGAAATTTCTCTTAGAACAGTGGATCATAATTTAGCAGTAGTAAGCAGAACTGGGCAAAAAATGGAATAACCTATCAAATGTAGATTAATATAATAGATTTCAATCAGCAATGATGTTAGTTATTCTATTAATGACAGTAGAATGGTGGCTATGAAGGTTGGTATCCTTATGAGATTAAATGAGATTATAAAAAATGAATAGAGCTAATCTGCATTATTAAACTTTAAAAACTCCTTATAAAAAGCTAATAAAATTGTCAAAAATAAATATATCACTATTGATTTAGCTAATGAAATTAAGAACATGAAGGGAATTTTTATGCATATAAATTGTTGTTTATTCCCTTTCTCTTTATACAGAGCTTTGAACTCTTTGGTACACTTAAAACCATTCAAAAAATCACTATCATAGCACCTTACTTAATTATATGAAATTAAAAAAAAAAATAGTATATGTTATGGTAAGTCACAATAATCTCTTTAGTTATTTAAATTCGATTCTTAAATGGATTTGATTTATTCGGCTCTGAGAAATAGGGATTATCCATAAAATAAATTATTTTTTCTACATTCCAACATTATTATAAGTGGACCGAATGAATTAAAGATAGTATTTTATTTATCAAAGTAGTTTCTTATCTAAAGATTATAATTTTTTAATGTATTATATATAATTATAACCTTAATATATTTGAATGAGGTTAGCAAATCCGTAACAAGTTTATTTTGAGACAGAATTTGTAAGAATGAAATCCTTATATTTATATTTAAAATTTATGGTAATTAACCAGTTTCTCTAACCAAATATTTGGAATGCAGTTTTGAACTGTTAAATTAGAAGAAGAGTATACAAAGAAAGATTTGTCAGAATTACTAACTTCAATAATTTTCTTTCATGATAGTGAAAATTAAGGCAAATGAATTAGAATGTAATTGAACTAATAATCTCAAACATTACTTTTTAATACATAGATTATTAGATTATGATGTGATAGTTGTTTCAAGTAAAGAAAGCTGATAAATTCTAAAAGAAATGAATGAAAATAGAATTAGTTTGGATAGCACAAAATCTCATAATCAGGAGGTGATGCTTAAAAAAAATTGCAGAAGATAGAATAAGGTGTAAATTTTGATCTAAAAAAAATTGCAGAAAATAGAATAAGGTGTAAATTTTGATCTAAAAAAATAAATATCAATAAGATATAAATGAGAGAAAGAGAAATGAAAATAACTTTCAGATACCAAAGATGTCTAATTAATTAATGATATTTTGGAGCCAAAGTGATTATTAATATCAAAAAAATACTATAGATATAGAATTAGAACGACTAGTTTAGAAATTCAAATTAAAAATATTAATAATTATAGAATTCAATACTAATTTATAAAATTAAAAACCCTCATAACAATTATAATTTCAACCAATAAGAATTCAGGAGAAACATTAAACTCTATAAAAGTAATATAAAATAATTCTATTAGAAATCTCTATATTTTTCTCATTATTATATTAAGAATATTGATCATTAAAATCTTAGAATTTAATGATGGAAAAAATGTCTACTAATTCAATTACACAGAATGAATATTAGACAATCAAAGTAATATGCAGTAGGGAATAGAGTAATTGAATGAGAAAATAAGAAATATCCAATGATTATGAGTCTTAAATTAAATTGTTATTTTAGAGAGAAAATAAGAAATTTTATAGAACAGCTCAGAGCTTTTTTTTTTGAAACATTAACACAAACACTAATTTTGGAGTAAGGGTATTCAAATACAATTACATAGGCATATTTAAAAACTTCTATTATTATAATACTTTAAGTTCCTATAATGCTCTTCTACAAATATCGAAATCATTCATTATTATTCCTTGCATTCTATTCCTCCTCTATCTCTTGTAATGCCAAGATTCTATAATGCTTCCAAAGTAATTCCTATTATCATTTCAAATCCATTATTATAACAAAATAGTTTATTTTAGATAATTCAGGTAAGAATAATTTATATTATCTTTTTTAATTTCATTAATCAATGTTAAATTAAAACTCAGGAATAGCTATTCAAAACGAAACAATTACAAAATAAAACCTAATATATATCTCACTAATAATTTATTGGATTTCTTTTCATTTATTTAATGAAAAATAGATTAGATTTCTTACTTTTATTGGAAAGCAAATCTTAATAATGATGGACTCAAAAAAATTATATTCAGACATTTTGAAAAATGAATAATTTAAACAAAATATTCTTTAAATTTAATCATGTTTTTAATTAATAATACTTATTTGATTACCAAAATAACATCAAACATTAGTAAAGTAATTTTTAGATTTCAATTTACTATTTATTAAAAAAAACAGATTAAAAAAAGGTTTATTTACCTAACATTATGTTAACTAATTTAAGGTGAAATGAATACTTTCAAGCCTATAATTGCTTGTTAGATATATCAGAAATCTTATTAAAATTGCATATATTTTATTTCATTGATAATTAAATTTCAAATTTTCAGTGATCATTTATCTAGTAATTAATTTAATCAATATCTTCCTGTAATGTTAATTTTATCCTTAAGATCTGCATTTAAATAAATTAAATTACTGTTTATTCTTGTATCATTAGTCAATTAAAATTGATCTTAACATGCACCCAAATGTTTTTGTATCAATAAATTTTAAATTATAAACTTGATTAATTACGTTGCTAATAAAATAAATAAACCTCAATTATTTTGAAAAATAAAATAGATAAATATCATATAATTTATCGAAATAAATGAAGAAAGACTTAAATAACTAATGCTTGTAAGTAAGGATTTATTAAAATTCATTCAACATCAAGATGATATCTATCATTATAAATGCCAATAATCATAAATATATTTCCCTTGAAATTATAAAACCCCTTCCATTCCATTTCTCTAAATTTTAATATTTAATTTAATGATTAAACCAAAAATGATAGAAAACCAAAAAGATTTTCATTGTTAAAACAACCACAACTTACCAATTCATATGATTGTGCTTGATCCAAAGCTCGACAAGAAACAAAGGCTTTTATGCACTGAATGCATGAAAGATTTCGAATCAAATGCAAAGACAATGTGACTTAAAAAAGTAATATAGATTATTGAAGATATTTACTTTAATGAGCAAAATTATTCTTAAATGCCCTGCCAATGTAAACAAAAATAAAGAAGATAAAGAATGATCGGCAACTAATAAAGGCCTTCGTAAATGTATAATAATATTATTATCAAGACAAACTTCAGGTATGCAGTTTGAGATGATTGAAGAGGTAGTAATGGAGTTATGCTTTAATATTAATATTAGAAAATGTATATTGCCAAATAAAAAGGACTATTTGGTTAAATAAAAGAAACAGAATGAATGTTGATACTTGCAAATAGAACATACGTTATTAAGTTATCATGGAAATTGAAAATTTTGAAAAAAATTCTCTTTATATGTTATACAATATAATGATTAATTCTTATTAATGCTGTGTTTATAGAGGAAAATTATTAATTATCTGATATGGTGGAAATTCATATGAGTGTTGCGCAAATTGAAAGCTAAATATTCAAAAAAAATTGTTAATATTTTCTTTTTAACAATATTTTTTTCCTTAAGTTATAAATTAATAAACATTAATGGTAAAAGATAAAATTTCATTATAATTCCTTCTATATGATTAATTCAAACTTGAAATAATATGACATATATAGTCATAACTATTCTTTTTAAAGGTGTTTATAGTATCTT